TTGTACATAGGGTCACTATGAGTCGCAAGCGACTCGACGGCACATAACAACAACAACAGTTTATATACAAAATTCAAATATTGTTTTTCACACCAGATTCTTCCAATTTCCCTCACTCCCCCATCAAATTGTACAACCCCATGATTAATCCCCCCAGCACATCCTCATTCCTCTGTTTCCATCTTTCCCTCCCCCCCATAGGATCCTCCTACTCATTCTACAATAATGGTTTATGCAATATTTGTCCTTGTGGGACTGAGTTAGTTCACTCAGCATAATGCCCTCCAGTCCCTCCCAAGTTAGGTAATAATTTACAAAATCATTGCTCCTCAATGCTGTGTAATATTCCATTCTATGAATGGACCATAATTTCTCAATCCATTTGATTGGACATCTTGGCTGTTTCCACGTTCTTGCGATGGTAAATAATGCTGTTATAAACATTGGTGTACAAGTCTCCATTTCTCATATTCTCAGGGTATATTCCAAGCAGTGGAATAGCTAGGTCATATGGAATTTTTGTGTTCGACTTTTTGAGGAAGTGCCAAACTGCCTTTCAAACTGGTTGTACCATTTTACAATCACACCACAACAAATCCCAAAACCATAAAGTTCATAAAAGACCAACAAGAATCAAGCTTAGAAAGCCTAGTCTACAGTATAAAGAGATTGCTAAATATAGCCAGAAATGCACAATCTGAAGAGGATTAAAATTGATGAGTGGGACCTTTTAAAGATTAAAACCCTGTGCACATCAAAAACTTTTTCCAACAGGGTGAAAAGAAAACCTACTGACTTAGAACATACATTTGGTGATACCATCTCAGATAAGAGTCTCCTAACGAAAGTCTCCAGAATACTCCTGGGCCTGCACAAGAAAAAGATTCATAACCCAATTACAAAATGGGCAAAAGACATGGAAAGAATTTTTCCAGAGGAAGATATTCAAATGGCCAACAGACACATGAAGAAATGCTCCAAATAACTGGCAATAAGAGAGATGCAAATCAAAACCACCATGAGATACATCTCACTCCAGTAACAGTGACAAAGTTTAACAGGACAGCAAGTAAAAAATGTTGGAGAGAATGTGGCAAGATTAGAACTCTTAGACATCTTCTTAAGTCTGGAATTGAACTCACCATCATTGTTCAACTTTCAGCCAAACAATAAATAGAACTATAAAATGAACAATAACATTAAGGAGGTATCCATTCATCAAAATAATCAAACACAAAAACATTGGGAAAGAAACCACTTCAATGTTTACAAGTCATATTTTTAATTCATTGATATACTTTTTCACATTTTATTTTATAACATTAACAATAACATCTAATAATTATAACCATATGTATAACAATTATAATTAATGAATTACAATGTCTGATCAACTGCTTATCATATATTGCCATTCCTTTCACCCAACTTATTAAATCTTTTGCTCCCTCTCTCTTCCTATCTCTGGTAAGCCTCCAAGGATGG